CCAAGCACTCAGCAAATCATTGCTAAATCTGTAAATCATTCTCATTTTTCAGAGGAAATTGGGGCACAACTAAGTGAACTAAGTTGCTCCATCTTCACTCTCATCAATATATGCTTATTTTCATTCCATATCACGTCATGTTTGACCAGTTACAGTCCCCTTCTCACTGGTCTAACAGGACCACCCAAGCCACACAAATCTAGCCACTGTGGTACTCTACATGGAGGTCAGAATCAGTCCCTTGCAGGTCCTCTACGTGGAGGTCAGTGTCGGTCCCTTGCAGGTCCTCTACGTGGAGGTCAGCGTCGGTCCCTTGCAGGTCCTCTACGTGGAGGTCAGCGTCGGTCCCTTGCAGGTCCTCTACGTGGAGGTCAGCGTCGGTCCCTTGCAGGTCCTCTACGTGGAGGTCAGCGTCGGTCCCTTGCACGTCCTCTACGTGGAGGTCAGCATCGGTCCCTTGCAGGTCCTCTACATAAGGTCAGCGTCGGTCCCTTGCACGTCCTCTACGTGGAGGTCAGCGTCGGTCCCTTGCAGGTTCTCTACGTGGAGGTCAGCGTCGGTCCCTTGCAGGTCCTCTACATAAGCTCAGCGTCAGTCCCTTGCAGGTCCTCTACATAAGGTCAGCGTCGGTCCCTTGCAGGTCCTCTACGTAAGGTCAGCGTCGGTCCCTTGCACGTCCTCTACGTGGAGGTCAGTGTCGGTCCCTTGCAGGTCCTCTACGTGGAGGTCAGCGTCGGTCCCTTGCACGTCCTCTATGTGGAGGTCAGTGTCGGTCCCTTGCAGGTCCTCTACATAAGGTCAGCGTCGGTCCCTTGCAGGTCCTCTCCCATAAGGTCAGCGTCGGTCCCTTGCACGGTCCTTACGTAAGGTCAGCGTCAGGTCCCTGCACGTCCTCTACGTGGAGGTCAGCGTTGGTCCCTTGCAGGTCCTCTACGTGGAGGTCAGCGTCGGTCCCTTGCAGGTCCTCTACGTGGAGGTCAGCGTCGGTCCCTTGCACGTCCTCTACGTGGAGGTCAGCGTCGGTCCCTTGCAGGTCCTCTACGTGGAGGTCAGTGTCGGTCCCTTGCAGGTCCTCTACATGGAGGTCAGCGTCGGTCCCTTGCAGGTCCTCTACATAAGGTCAGCGTCGGTCCCTTGCACGTCCTCTACGTGGAGGTCAGCGTCGGTCCCTTGCAGGTCCTCTACATAAGGTCAGCGTCGGTCCCTTGCAGGCCCTCTACGTGGAGGTCAGCGTCGGTCCCTTGCAGGTCCTCTATGTGGAGGTCAGCGTCGGTCCCTTGCAGGCCCTCTACGTGGAGGTCAGCGTCGGTCCCTTGCAGGTCCTCTATGTGGAGGTCAGCGTCGGTCCCTTGCACGTCCTCTACGTGGAGGTCAGCGTTGGTCCCTTGCAGGTTCTCTACGTGGAGGTCAGCGTCGGTCCCTTGCAGACTTTAAGCCCGCCTCATTCTGAGCTTCCCGCTTTTCCATGGTGAGCTCCTGGAACTCATGCTCATCCAGCCACTCCAAACTTGCACATTTCAGTCTTTGCAACTGTTGTTCCTTGTGCGTGAAAGTACATGGCCCCATGCGGGGTAAAATCAACAACGAATCCAAACAGGGCTCATTATACTTACTAGAAATGATGTATATTTATTTGATTGCTTATGTTAGGTTGAAAATTATTCATAAATTTGATAGTGAGCCATATATTTTTATTCAAGGAAGACTAAAATTTGTATTTTAAATGAATGAATAAACCTACTTTGAAATTGGCCAACATTTGAAAATACATTTTACTGCCAGAGCAATTACCAAGAGTCTTTAGAAAACTTTATAAATGGAGAGTGGAAAACTGAGCCTGAATGGAAAAAATCCTCAGACTATCCAACTACTCAGATATATATATATCCATATATATATGGATATATATATGAATATATATATATGGATATATATATGAATATATATATGGATATATATATGGATATATATATGGATATATATATGGATATATATATGAATATATATATAAGAATATATATTATATATGTAATATAGACACATATAATACTAAGACACATAGTTTTGTCTGGGTATCCATAAGATTACTATAAATGTTGTAAAATGTAATGTCTCACAATGCTAATGAGTAATGGAGTCTATTGATTTAATATTGAATATTGTTAAATAAGATAAAACAAGGAAGATTGACTATTATGTTTTATCTTGAGTTAAATAATTACATTTTTTAAAAGCTACAAAGGAAAACAAAAGCACTGCAGTTTTTCCCTAGTGCTTAATGAGGCAATAATTCTATGTGGAGACATTTTTTTAACACTGAAATATTGCAATAAAGACCATATTGATGATTATTCAGGGGAATATTATACATAGAACTTCAGCTGTATATTAAAGTATTTAGATCCACCCATTATTCAGAAAATGCTTGTTAAATGTTCACATAAATTGTCATTGTTCTCATTTTTAGAGGAAATTGAGGCAGAACTAAGTGAGCTAACTTACCAATACCTTTCTTTACTTAGTAATAGAGGCCCCAGATAATTATAATGTTTATGATCAACCTATTCTATAAGAGGTCTTATGTAATCAAAGAAACTGTTCAGGTATTTAACTTATGTTCACAAAAGGGTATCCATCAATTTTGAAAAGTTGAAATCAAATGTAAAAAGTGATATATGTTAACTTAGAAGCCTAGGTTATACAAGATCGGCCCCTCAGAATTATTCTATGTAGGGACTATGTAACATACATAAATACATAGGTTGCAGATTTGATATAAGTGTGTTGACTTTTATCTGCTAAAGATATCTAGCTTCTATTATTCGTTTGAGCAGAGAAGACTACTATGTTCAAGATATGCTTTTATTTATGGTACATGAAGCAATGGTTATAATAACCAGGGAGCGGAAAGAAATATGTGTTACTAAACTCCAATCATTTCTCATTTTCTATGGATGATTAAACTTCTGCCTGAATACTTTAAACATCTTACTTATCATTAAACTTCAGAATTAAAGCTAAAAATATGTGAGATTATAATATTCTTTTTATTCAGTGTGTATGCTGTCACAAATTCAAACTAACCTTATTTCAAAGAGATGGACAGTACTTATACTTCCGAAATTCTTTTAATGTATTTTTAAAAGAAAACAAAAAAAGCGTATCTGAGCATGTCCCTCTTTTCCTTTTTTGAAATGGAGTCTCACTGTGTTTCCGGGCTGCAGTGCAGTGGCGTGATCTTGGCTCACTGCAATCTCCGCCTCCCGGGTTCGAGTGATTCTCTTGCCTCAGCCTCCTGAGTAGCTGGGACTGCAGGTGTGCACCCCCACACCCAGCTAATTTGTATTTTTAGTAGAGATGGGTTCGCCATGTTGTCCAGGATGGTCTTGATCTCTTGACCTTATTATCTGCCCACGTCGGCCTCCCAAAGTGCTGCGATTACAGGTGTGAGCTACCACGCTGCCCTGTTTCATTAAAAAGTGCAGTGTCAAGGATATGAGAGCCAGTTCCTTTAAAAATATTAATAATTCGAACCGTCGCAGCCCTGGATGTCAAAGGCCTTACCATGTGCCTAATTCTGAGACAGGAAGGCAGAGTGTTGTTGACCTACCGGTAGCCTGAGTTCTGTGGGTTTTTCTTGTTTGGGGAATAAACTCATGATCGATATCCACAAGGTTCTGGTACAAGAGCCAGGAAGGATGTCTGTTTGGGGAAAACATATACACTGATGCATTTCACTTTGCATTTTGAATACTGAGTTGAAGAAGTTTTCTGTTACTTCTATTACTTCTGGCTGGAATTGAGATACAGTTTTGCGTATCGTGTTGCACAACAGAGCCATTCTCAAGCATGAGACTTTGGCTGGCTTCCATTCATTTTGGGATTTTATCTATTCCTGTCCATTAAGTTTATATCAAAACATTGCCATATCTGGATGCTGGGAAAAAAACGTCATTGAAGCTGTGGGGAGCACTTTTAAATTCAATAGGACTTTTGTGAACAATTTTAAAAGGCGTCACTTAATTGTCTGTAACAACAAAAACAAAAATCAATAAAAGACTGTCAGAACGCATGGACTGATTATTGCATTTGACAAAAAAGTTTGCTGTTAATGAAATTCGCAACATTCATGCAAATGGAGAGCACGGTCATTCAGACCTAGAAGGGAGGTTCTCTTTGCTAAGATGAACAGACCAAGTTCCAAATTGGAAGCGCTTTGTCCACGTGGAGAGCAGGTCACTTTTTGATCTCACGCTTAGTATTCTATTGCCTGTGTGTGCGATCTTTCTGTTGTAAGTCAGAAGATGCGTTGACAAATGTGAAGAGGAGACAATAGTAGCCAAAATAATAACTAAACGGTGCATATTGTTATAGCGAACTGGGAAAAGAATGCATCTAGGGCCGGGCGCGGTGGCTCACGCCTGTAATCCCAGCACTTTGGGAGGCCGAGGCGGGTGGATCACTAGGTCAAGAGATCGAGACCATCCTGGTCAATATGGTGAAACCCCGTCTCTACTAAAAATACAAAATATTAGCTGGGCATGGTGGTGCGTGCCTGTAATCCCAGCTACTCGGGAGGCTGAGGCAGGAGAATTGCCTGAACCCAGGAGGCAGAGGTTGCGGTGAGCCAAGATCGCTCCATTGCACTCCAGCCCGGGTAACAAGAGCGAAACTCCGTCTCAAAAAAAAAAAAAAAAAGAATGCATCTAAAATTTCTTAGATTCTCTTTCATTTACATATTGTATATTTTAGAAGTCAAAGTTTCTCCGTAGTTATCTGAATCTAAAGATGCTTCCCACTAATTTGAAATTACATTGTTTGGGTCTATTTTCAGTGTTTCGTTTAAAACAGATAGATCTGTAAAGTCAGGTAAACAAATATGAATTCGAAGGCTGGTATTTATATTGTTTGAAATATGAGTTGTAAAACTGATAGTATTACGAGTTGCAAATAGATCTGCGACATGACATTTTGATCTGATTTGTTCTGAACATCTGCAGGCAGAATGCCTTTCAAGTCATTGCTGTGGACGGGGTGTGCAGTGGGATTATTCAGTGCCTCTCTGCCGAAGACTGCATTGACTGGCTGCAAGCAATAGCGACTAACATTTCAAATCTCACAAAGCACAATGTAAGTAACGATTCAGGGAATACCTAGCCAGCCTTTCTCAGGCTTTGCAAAATCCTTCAGTGTGTATGTAACTTCGCATCAACTGTTTGGCCTTCTTCGCAGAGTGAGACACTTCGCATTAATTATGAAAGCTATTCTGGGATACTTATTGAAAGGAAGTTACTTTGGAAGTTCGAGCCCCGTTTATGAGCTCAATAATACACATAGATTTCCATTAACAAGTATTGTAAACACCTATATTACCTAAGCAAGTCAAAATAAGTAGTTAGCGTATAATCACTAAATATCTTTAAGGAAAAGCATTCTGGACTAATATAGTACTTGATTTCAAGCTAACATTATTGGTTTACCTTTAGTGATCTTAGAATTACAGGTAGGAAGATTTGAGGAGTAGGAGGCTAGGACGAAAGGAGTTAGCATGAAGAAGGTGGGAACGGTCAGAAGATTGCCACTGTCTCTCATTAGACAGAGCCTGGTCTGTATTGTCAGAAATGGCTTCTCTGCATTTTCTCTCTTTCCACTCCAACCTTCTCTTCCTTTCACATTTCTGTGTCTCTTTATTATAGCTTTATTCCTATTCTTTTAACTCTTTAATAACCTAAACAATTCTTTATCCCTGTTATTAAAACTTTTATGAGAAATATAGGCTAACAAAATATACAAAACCATAAACCTCACCTCAATATCGTTGTAGGTATCAGTAATGATAATTGTTTTAGAAAAAAATACTTTTCATTGTCTGTGCCTTTGTGTGAATTCTTTCCTCAGTCCACAATTGTTCCATGCCGTGTTGAGGCATTTGAGAAGTCCTAACGGAGATCAGGAGTGTAATAAGAAATGATCAAGCAGAAATACATAACTCTGTTCACCAGGCATGAACACATAGAACTGTTCTTGTGTAAATGATGTTCAGATCCAAGTATCCTTGCACAGAGAAGACTTTGCTTTGAAATCTAAGAAGGGACTGTGGCCAGTATGCCTTCCTAAAACAAAAGGCGGATCACCAGCCAGTGAAGGCAACCGTCTGGTTTCCAGTCTCTGGCTGTTTCAAATAACGCCATCATAATGGCCTTACATATGGTGACAGGACGCTCTGGGAGTGACGTTGACAGTCATGGCATATGTGCATGGTCAGTGATACCAGGCAATGCTAAGTGTTTTCCGATTGGCTGTAGAGTTTACCCCCACACTCTTGGTTGATGACATGTCTCTTTCTATAGATAATTTTCAAAACTCTGTGCCATCTGCCTTATAATTTTTGGTTATTTGATACATGTGAAAATGTGCTTCCAGTGTGAATAAAAACACATTTTTTCGGTGGTTCTAGAATAGATATAGTATGCCAGCCCTTACCCAGGGTCATCCGTCAACGAGGACGCTACACAGGGGTGTGCCTGAGTTGGGCGAGAGTGGGCTCTCATTCCCAGCCCAGCCCTTGCTACTCCGGTGTTGTCAACATGTTAGAGCTGAGGTTGCACAAGAAGGCATGGGTTTCAGAATGACCAAAATGCAAAGGAAAAAAGAGCAAAGAAATGCAGTGTCTCTCTAGAGGTTCTTCCACTTCTTCGTCTGAGTTATCTGGATGTTTCTAGAGTTAAAGACAGAAAAATACCTCATGAGAGTAGAACTCTTTATTTCTTTACAGAAATGATTAGAGATCTTAAAAATGAGACATGATATTATATTTGTGAGAAAAATATTTTTGAAAGAACAGAATGTTAAACTTATATTCAAAGATTTTTTTCCTCACTTAGATCCAAACTTGCTGTGACTTAAAATCCTAGGAATACTGTCATGTTGCATTTCTTCAAAAGGTCTGTTCAGTTCCAATGCTGCGCTTCCACTGAGAAGCATTTGAAAAGTCAATGCTTTAGTTAAAAACAACGGAACAGTGAAGATGCAGATGTCGCTACCCTCTGTAAGCCTAAGGAGGGACAAGCCAAATTTTGCTGCTTGTTTTTCATTCTTGTGATAAGTGCTCACCATCACGCAAGGGAAAGCAAATGACTCCCTTATGCTCTTGTTTTAGCTGTTGGGAGACCCATGCGTCCGTTGCCATATTAAAAGTTATCTATTTGCTCTTTCACTTCCTGTTTCTATATGAGAATCGCATGTTCTTTTGTTCTTGTAATCAGTTCCCATTAAAAAGTATTAGGTTACAATGTACTCTGATACGGAAAGGACTACATCAATGTTGAAAAGTTATTAGGCATAGCGATAAAAAATGGGTAAGTCACATTGACTTCAGAGAAGGCACAGTGACTGCACTGATGACACAATTAACATGGTTCATTAGCCTAAAGAAAGAAATTAGGCGGAAAAAGTAGGTAGGAAAGTTTTGCTTAGGACAGTTAGATATCAGTTTTAGTTCTCTTCCTTTTTGACTCCAAGGAGATTCTGGAAATAATACCTTATGGAAAGATGTCGGACTTTTTCTTTACTTGCCAATATTCTGAGACAGTATAGGCTTGTATAAGTCTGACTTGAATAGTTTATCTGTTGATAATAGATGTAGAAATAAAAATATTGTGATAAATATTTAAAGAAATTCCACTCAAGAGATTATCAGGCATAAAATAAAATTGAAAAAAGACTAAAATGAATATAAAATAACAAGTTTGACAGTTTAAAAATTATGCTGTTGAAATAAGACATACATATGTATATAAACTTTTAAATAATGAATCAGATTTTATTGTAAAGCTAGTTGGAGAAGAGATGGGGAAGGATAAAAGAGAGTAAAAATAACAATAACAAAAACAAAAAGCAACCTTTGCAGGAATAATTAGAGCAATGTGCTGACCATTTCCTTTTCTCTTTGCTCACTAGTTTCTAAAAGTAATTTTGTGAGACAAGGATTTTCATACACATTAATTTAAAATTCTATGTAATTATAGCTGCTGCCTGAAAAGCTTCTTCTTCCAGAGATCGTTGACCATAATGGCTAAAAATATCTAGACAAACACTGACAATTTAAAATTGTATTTTATCATTATTCGGAATGGCTCCAAACATTTACAATAGCTGTTAATAGTTAATACTTAGTAAATGGTCTAGTAGGAAGAGGGTGAAGGCTCTAGAGGCTTGTTTTAAGCTGTGTTGGCAGAGCTTTCAACTCATTTTACTTAACGTCTATGCTTTCACATTAGAAAGCAAAGAATGGCGGAAGCTGTGGTGCTGTGGGGTGAGTGGGGTTCAGCTCATTTCTTAACCAGCTCTCAAATAATGAGCATTTGCTATTGTTTTAGATGAGCATTCACTCACAGTGAACTATTGCTTCAGGTAAAGTAGACTTGAGCAGATTCTAAAAGCTTAAATTTACATATTGTAAGAAACAGTGATTGCCTCCAATGAATAATCTATCAAATTTTGTCCATTCATTATTTCACCACCTATATGAACAAGTATTAGTAGAAAGTTATTAATTTTTATTTCCCTGATCATTTCATATTAAATAATTGAAGACTGTAAAATATGCTAATGTTATAATATGATAAAGTTTTTGGGAACCTTGGAAATAAGTAAATATATTTGGCATAATGTACAAGAGATATGAATCATCAGAGTTTGCTGGGCAGGCCAGTAAGATACCCCCCTATGATGTTCACTTCCTGCTATTTACACCCTTATGGGATTGCCGTCCCTGTGCGTTGACTGCACAGTGAGCTCTGAAGCAGATGCTTGTTTTACAAAACTTCAGATGAGATGGCAGATAACCCTTGAGAGCCTTCTGAGAAACCCAGTACCTGCTAACCCACACTGGTCACATGCTGAGGGCTCAGCAGGATCTTTAACTAAGGTAGATTTGCAAGAAGCCTTTATCCAGTTGTTGGGTTTTGATGTGGATATTTTTGGAGGAGCATTTTTGGCCTACCACTGGAACTATCTGGCAGGTGAGCAGATGATTAGATTTAGACAGTTCTGTCTGATTTTCATGTGGTGTCTCCGATAGCAGTTTCAAAGCCTTTGCTCTGCCATTTGGGTGTGTTCTCGGTGCATTGCTTGGGGTGGGCCCAGAGCTCCTCGCAGTCCACACATAAAATTGGGATATTGCCTTCTTCCCGTCCCTCCTAGAGGGGAGTTCCTCACTCTCACCGGGTTCCTGCATCACTCTCTTTGATCTTCTGTTCAGAAATCCAAGGCTTTTCTAAGACTTTAGTTTCCTGAACTGACGCAATTTCCTCATGACTGGAGAAAACAGCATAAGAAAAAGAAAAAAGGATGGGGATACCTCATGGCAGAGAAGCTCATTTTTCCAGTTCCTTCACACTGTGGATGGGTTTTCTTTCTGGGTTTCTGGCTGGCCCAGCTGCCCCAGGCTCCCTGGCAGCAGCTGTGGGGACGGCGGGCCTTGGAATCAGCTCAGGAGCCAAAACAGAGGAATAGTCACAGGGATGTCTTCCACAGCTGCTGGCTGGCAGGGACTTCTTCCCCGGTCTCTGATCAGTGTGACATACTCTCTGAGTCTTTGTTTGTTGTCGGTGACTTGATTTGTCTTGGTCTCGAGTCCATGCTGGGAGATAAAGTAAGAAAAAGAAAAGAAAAAAAATGAATGAAAACTGAAAACTCCCGGTTGCGATATCCGTCGTTATTCAGTTTTGACTTTCCTCAGAGTTCTTGCTGTTATTTACCGTCCAATGCTCTCGGATAGTTGCCTTTTGCATTTTATGAATAGTGTTGAGGGATGATCGGTGGGAGAGATGGCTGCAGTGGTTTTATTCCATCTTGGCTCTGCTTGGAAGCAATAGAAACTTTTAATAGAAAAAAATGTAAAAAAAAAAAGCAATTACATGATATTTGTAGAGTGTTACAAGAAAATAACTATCTGAATTTGTTGTACTTTGGAAATATTACTTAAAAGTCCTGATAAATTATTTTCAGAAAAATAGAAAACTCAAGAAAAATCAACAAAACAAAGATTTACTAAAGGAAATACTTGAGTACTTTTAATTTTTTTGTATTTTTATTTATTCAACAAAGATTTACTGAATACGTGTCTA